CGCACCATACCCAATAAAATGGCAAAAATTAATTCGTAACAGGTTCATGTACATTAGGAGCATAAAAGCATTGACAGGAGTGAGCTGATGACCAGTCAGTAGGAGGGAAATAACGGAGAGCAGGATTGGTATTGAAGTATACTCCAAGGCAGCCAAACCTGAGAGAATAGCACTTTTCCTTCGGATGATGCTGATTTCTTGTCTGAAAGAATAAAATAACATTGTTGCCATCATTTACTGAAAAAGTGAAATAACTGAAGAACTGCGCCCTCTCTGTTTGGTCAAATACTTATTAGTTATCCACTTTTTTGTTTCCAGACTTCCAATATCGGTACAGAGTTAAGAAATTAACCGTTCGACATTTAGGAGAAATTATTTTAGAAGAAGCTGGAGTCGCTCTCGGCTATCACCTCGCGTGACTCTTTCGCTTCTTGAGTGCTTATAGCGGTCTCCCGCGTGCATCCAGAACTCGATAGTGTACGCTATGGTGTTTACCATTTGTGAATTGGTCGAAGGGCTTCTGTGAGAAATCCCATTACGTGATAAACTCAAACTAAAAATAGCGCGTCTGAGTAAACACCGTGACATGAACAAAGGCAGTTGAACGCTCCAAGTAATGGGCTCCCAGTTCAACTAAAAGTTTGTCCTTGGACAGTATCTAGGTCGCATCGTACACTCACTGGTTAAGATGCGCAGCTATTAAGTAAAAAATATCCCCCTACATTCGTGTATGTTTTATCTTTCCTCTGAAATCATCCTCCCACGCTCGCGCTTTGATAGCGCGTATCCCAGAAACCACTTGGTTCGTCAAGGAAATTCGACGATCAGTTTCTGCTGCTGAGCGCAGACGCAGTGTAGCATAGACAGAGGACATCTCAGCATAATAGAGTACAAGAAGACAGAGAAATAACTCTCCCATAAGAGCCTGCCAGCCAATGAGATACGCGAGCAGAAACGTTGCAACCACGATTTGAAGTGAGGCAGTAATAAAAGAATTAATAGGTGCTGTCTCCATTCGCTGGACATCATTTGATATTAGATCAATAACTCGTCCTGCCGAAAACTTTGACAATGTACCCTTGCTGAGCAATAAGATCTGAGAATGAAACAAAATAAATAACAAACTCAAAGAGGCTTCCATCATTTTAATATCTAAGGTCCAGTCAGTTAATTATCGTTTGGTAGGTTAGGGGTTAATTAAGAGGAATTTGGGAGAAACATAGGGAATTAACGGCCAATGAATGGGTGGGCAGCATTAGAATATTACAGAGCTTTAAGGGGATTGGATTAATGTTGCCAAGGAAAGAACTTGAAGAATGCACTCAGATAACTTACTTAGACACTCGTTTGAAAAAACTTCTTTCACTAGTAACAAATGTAATGTTAGGTTTAGAAGAATATTGCCTCGCAAGGCGAAGAAATAAGCATAGCGAATTGAGTAGGATTGCACTCTCACCTAAACCCTACAATGACTCGTTCCCAGTCCGAGGAAACCACTTGATGGGAACAAAACGAACATTCTTTTCCTCCTACCTATCGCCCATTTCTTCCCCAATTGTACCCCGTGCACATTTTAAAGACGGTTAAGGATGAGTCATACTTGTACCCACCTTTCTGTAGACGAGACCTTTTATTGCATTACTTAATCTGATGCCCATTATTTCACACGCGTAAGCGTGATGTTGCATGCCAATGCTCAAGATCAATGTGGTCATAGACATGGCTGCCGCTAACATACAACCGTGAACTAGAAGGTTCGTGTACGTTCCCGGCGACATTAACAAGAGTATCAGATATCCAATGAGCAGTGGTGTGACGAGGGAGCCAGTTGCGTAGAGGAGGCCTGGGAGAAAAACATAGGCAACCTCCCTCAGGGAAAGCATCTTCAAAACACTTTTCCACAACTTCGGCCTTTTCTCCTTTCTCTTGGAATTAGCTTTTTCTTCTTTCCATTTC